ATAAAGGACATCATATTAAGATAATAAAGATTAACTTTGTAATTTTACAACAATTAAATTACTTATTTCGCTTTTAAACATTGAATGTTTACAGCTCCTTTGTATTAGAACATGTAAGGGTAATGCTTATGAATTTTAATTTAGTTGTAATTATATTGCAAATATTAATTTAATTTAATGAATTTGATGTAGATGGATGATTTATGGTGGCCAATTTTGATGATTATCATAACATCCATACTATACAACATGATGATACAACAACATCTTCAGATGTTCACCACTTTCAAACTATCTTATTAAAAGCAGTTCCAGAATTACCAGCAGTCCCATTTGATAATTTACACATTAATAAAAATGTCCACAATCTAAAAGGAATTGATGCAGAGCTTATTGTGGAAAATGTTCAGGTATTGTTTTTTTCCTCATCTTTGGTTAACATATAATGAATGTAAGTTTGTTTTTGCTAAAAAATTACCTGAAGCAAGAAACATGAAAAGAAGACAGAAGTATGGATAACACCAAGCTTGTCAACTTGGTTGAAAGAAGCTTACATTCTACAGGAGATTATATAGAAGCTTTAGAAAATATATTTAATGTTCCAGAGTTGAAGGCTTATCTTGAACAGGGTTTTTATTCATGAATATCATGAATATCATTAAGGGGGGTTACACGCTATTAAAACAGCAAAAAATCCCTTAAAAACATGAGTTGATCACTTGATTTTAATAGTGTGTGACCATGTGTGACCCCCTTATGATATTCATGAATACAAACCCTAATCTTGAAAAGTTTATACTTGTAGCACCAATGGATTATCCTGGACAGATTCATGTGCAACGTGCTGTTTCAGCTTCTTTTAATTCAACAAATACCCACCAACTCTCACCTCTCCTGCAACACATTGTCCCAATGAGAAATTGAAAAATTTGGTCAACTGGCCCCATGAAAAATAATTATGTGGAAAAATTTCATGTTTCCTGATTTTTTATTAATATAGTTACCGGAATTAGATTTGGACGCTCTTTTGGCCGAATTTGACTAATTCCGAAATTCTTAATTTTTATTATATTTTATTTATTTCTATTTTTGTATTAATTTAGTATTATTTTATCCTGTGTTACATCTATTTTTTATTTTCATATTATATTTTATTCTTAATTGTTTGTATAACGTTGTAATTTATTTGACTTATTTAAGAAAGAATCGTCTTGGGATATCCTCGCAATTTTGGGAAATTAGAATTTATAATTAATTGAACTGTATATAAAGAACTCAATTTCGACCTAATGTAAAGGTGACTTGTAAATAAGTTAATTAGTTTCGACTAAGAAAAACTAAATAAATAAAATATTACTATTTTATTTAAATAAACTTTTATCTTCTTTAAACAAAATTATTCGCTAATAACAAAATCAATTCATTGATCCCCTATTCATTCTGATCCACGCAAAACAAAAATAATTGTTATCACCCATTAAAATACGCTCTCCTAAATTTAATCAATGACAATATTAATAAAGATTTACATTTATCAAAAAAAAATTTTACAAATATTAAAAATCATTATTGTAAAAACATCTTTTAAAAAAATTTTACACATTTAAATTGACCACCACTTGTATATTGATTAAATCATTAATATATACTAAGGAAATAGAATTATTGAAGCTAATGCCATTACAAAATGGAATAAAATAATAAATTTTTAAATACAATTAATTATATATTTTGGTTGATAAAAAACAAACTTAGCTTTTTTGTTGCTATTTAATCCTTTCCTTCTGTGAATACCTGCTCTATTAAATATTCATGGTGATTATTATGATTATTAAATACATTTGATGTTGTCACTGACATAACGAAAAATTGCATCACCCAGGTAGTAATAATACCAAGGCCATGCATGAATGAAACTTTAATAATGCATGTTTATCCAGATCTCTAGGGTTCACAAAAATAAATTACTTTTCCTGATTATCAATTATGGTTGCTCATGAATAATAAATCTGATGTTGAATCACAGGTGTCAGATTTAATTGAATTTTTCCTGTCACAAACATGCAGAACCGTGCAACTAAGCACAATTCAGCACCATGGATTTTATTCTCCACAGGTGAAACAGTCCTGAACATGCTGGAAGGCTTTGGACAAAACATTCCCTATCTTCCTCTAAGACCAGGCTTGGCTGTTACCATATGGGCATTGATTGCTGATGAGAGTTAGCATTTATGATGATTGCTTTGTGTTATTGCCACACTAGCATTAAAGTTGGTGTTAAGACTGGCTTGAGAATTCAGCAACTCAGGAGGTTGTAACCTGGATTGCTGTTTTGGATTTTCCCCAAATTCAGAGTTTTGAGTCCTGGGTTGCTGTAATTTTTATGAAAAGAAAAGTATTAATATTTAACAATTAATTATTTAAATGTTTATTTTGTTGAAAAAAATATACATTGATAGTGTACATTTTCTGTGCTTAACATCCATGTGACCCTAAGTCTGGACAAAAGATCCCTTTCTATGAGTTTGGCTGGTATATCCCAAAGGCCTTATCTTGTCAGTGGCACGCCTACTCCCAACAACCCTACCCCCATTTACTAAAATAACAAGTTCAGTTGGTCAGATAAAATTAAAGAGAAACAGAAAATTTGGGAAAATGATTAATTTATAACAAAACATACCAAACAAAATCCAAACCATTTTATGACTTTTTCTCATTGGCCACATTGCTGACAAAGATGTATATAATCATGTGACAATTTTAACCTACAGGACAGGGGGACTGATTGGGCAAAAACCCATCCCAGTCCCCTATCCAAAATTATTAAATTGGTTAGAATCAAAAAAACAAAGAATTTAGGAAAATGATTATACAAAACAAACACTATTTTACAACTTTCCTCTCAGGTCTTTTGGTGCAAGGAACTCAATATTTCTACATTCGGCCACGACATCCATGTCCGCTTTCAAGCAATCAAGATAAAACTCGAGTTTACAGCTATGTGAGCACAACGTTATAGTCGAATTTATACATAACAACTAGTAAAGATTTAAGCCAACAATATATATTTTTATTTAATATTATTAAATAATACATTGGTAGATGATAACAGAATAAAATAAAAATAATAACATTAAATTATTTGAAAAACTTCGAATTCATCAAATTCATCATTGTCTACTATCTTGATGTTATTATAAGCAACATTTTTACCACCAACTCTACCATATGCATTAAAATAAAGATCACAGCCACTACCAAAACCAAGAAAATTAGTTTTACAATAAATTGCATATTTACTTTTGACAACATAACTAAAATTGTGCAGTGCTAATATCATTTCTATCACTAATATTAAAAATAAAGCTTTCAGTTGTATTTTTATATACACCAGTTCCATTCCAACTAAGTGGGTTATATCCACCAACTATTTGCTCTGAATTTCGTATTTTGCCAACTACAAGAGTTTTGTTGATATTACCACAATTTTGATGAAATATTTCTCCATCAAAACCTTCTCTAGTGCTATGATATAGAAGTTTAAATTCATATTTGACTTCTTTGAATGAGATATATGGTGGGCTTTTTCTATCAATCCAACTTGCAAAAAGCAATGTAAGATTTTGGTTGATTGTCAATGATTCAAGTGTTGAATTCAATTTTAAAATTCTTGATGGTAATAAATTCAAAGTTTGTTGACTATCAGGAAACATATGATATTGTAAAAGGGCTTTCCATAAAGTTCTAGGAAGTAGCATATGATATGGTTCAATATTATCAACAAAATCCTTTTTAGAGATATCCTGAAATCTTATTAGAGAAAAAAACTCTTTTAATGTGTTACCCAAATCAACAAAATTTTGTGATGACCAATCTTCAACATTGATATTGTTGATTTCTGGATGTTTTTCTAATCCCCACTTAAGAATGTTTTCCCAAATAACCATCTCTTTAACTGAAAAATCATCTCTTTTGAGAATTTCTAATAGAATTGGTTTTTTCAATGATTTAAATTCATTTGACTCAAATAGTTTTTCACTATATTCACAAAATTTTTCTAAATAGATTTTTTTAAATTCTTTAAATTTTTCATTGGCATAAATTAATTGTAAAACTTTAACTGAATTTTCTTTTATATGGGGTATGCTGCAACAAAACCAGACAAAGTGAACATCAGTATTATCAGAATTTCAGGGATTAAAATTAAAGATAGTAAAATGTAAAAATGTATCCGTTAACTTTTATGAATAATTTATTTTTATGCGATATATAACGATATATGTAATTTATTAAATAAAATATTATATTCTCAATATCATTCCTCAGGATTATGAACTTTGTAAATATTTTAGAATTTTTGTTGTTAACTGATAAAATGTGTATAAAATAATCTGTATATATAATTAAATCATCATTATTTAATATTTTACAACAATCAAATTCAATAATTGCAGAAAGACCATATTCATCAATTGTTGATGATAATTCTTCTTCCATTCCATCATTAAGTTTTTGTGCTTTTATAACAATATTTTTAAATTTATCATCATATTCTTTTAATATTTACACACTGGTGACGAAATCACACTTATTAAAAGTTCTAATCCTGGATGAGCACCATAATCGTCGTGTAAAATTAAATTTTCGATTGCGTCTAATTTTTTGTCTCTATATATACGAAAAAAATTTATATATAAACCATTACTTATTGCAAACGTCGCGTGATCTCTTGATTTTTGCTCATCCAATATACAACATCCATAGTTGTACACCTGGAGTAGGTCACCACTTAGTAAATTTCCGCCAGTTTTTTTTAATTCTATAATGAATAGAACGTTATTGGAGTTCACCTTTAGACCTTTTCGTGCGAATGATATATCTGGCGCGTACCCTCGTAAATAATGATTATTTTTGGTACGTTCAAATTTAACAAACTTCATTTGCGGATTGAGAATAGACAACTGCTCTTCAAAATAATCTTGTAACCTCAATTCGCCATCAAAATGTTTTTTGATCATAAATAAATTATCAGGTACTGTGATGTTTTTTGGTTTTTCAAACCAAAATTCATCACAAGATAAAATCGTTGCGTCTCTTAAAATACGTCTCCATCTCTTATTATCAGTATCGATCGATAATTGTGTTTGGTTAGGCAACGTTAAGTCTTTACAAACATTATCCTTATAAGTGTTCTCTAAATAATTTGTAAATATATAAATGAAATGAGTGAAAGTATTTTTTATTTTTTTATTTACATGATTTGTTCATCACCTATATCCTTTAGTCTTGATTTTCGCTTTAAGATGGCAACTTCTTTTTCTAGTTCTTTTATCCTCCGTTCCTAAAAGAATTGTTGTGGAGAATAGTTGTGCGTAAAAAAAATGTTTTATTTTTATATTTAATAATGTTTGCACTAAATATTAATAATTGGAATATATACTTTTACGTCATCATTTTCTTTGTTCTTTCCATTCGCACTAACACCAAGTAAACAAAAAAGGATAAAGTTATATATAGGTCAAAAGTTTAAATAACAATGATTGCTACTACCGTTCCTTTTTTTTAAATAAACTAGAGTAACGACAGGTGGCGGGCGATAACCACCACCACCATCCTTAAAACACTTACCCAAAGTATTCATCGCGATTATGGTCTTTGCTTCTTTTTTTTTTCAGTTTCTTTGTTATTACGTGGCATGATTTTTTAAAAAATAAGTTTGTTATTTGATCGACGCGTACACACTAACTATTTATCCTATTGGTTTTTTTTTTCTGGTAGGACAGACGCGAATTGATTGATTGGTTTTTTTTTTTTGGAAAAACAAAAAACAATTTATTTTTTGACAGAGCCCAAGGTGACAAAACGTGAGTGTTGTTGTTTGGTTTGGTTTTGGGTCTCCTAAAGAAAATGTGTTAATAACTAATCAGAGGTACTATTTTTTTTACTTGTATTGATATAATGTAGTATCTTTTTTGGTTTATAAACATTTTAATTGGAAATCAAAACGCGGAGCAGATCATTGTTGGGTAATTACAAGATTTTCATTGATAATATTTTGCTTTTCGTAATCAATATTAATATTAATAATATTATTATATTATTATTACAAGGTGTCAAGGCAGCACACCATTTAAAAAGAAACATTTCAAATATGCAACATTTGATTATCGGAAATTGGCAGGTGTTGAAGCACGCACGCTACCTTGAACACATTACAGTCATTCACTCGTTCCTTGAGTACATAAGGCTAATCTGACTAGCTTGCCCTGAGATACAACGATGCAACCGAATTCCAGGGGGGTACGTGGCTCTGGAGTTTACCGAGACTGCATCAATCGTCAATGACGCTTTCACTAATCTTCCCAGACCAGAGAAGGCTGCTGGCACGCTAGCCGAAAAGTTGCCTGCAATGATCCCGCCTCTAGGGTAAGGGTGGCACTGTGGCCAAGCTATCGCAACTCTGGAGGAATATTAAGAGAATCTGCAGCTCGTTTCAAGCACAGTATGCAATTCAGAGCAGGGTTGGTGGTCCTGAAATTGCATTTGGGCTCTGATGTTAAGAGGAAAGTTGTAAAATAGTGTTTGTTTTGTATAATCATTTTCCTAA